CTGCGCCCAGGCCACAACCTGGGCCTAGGCCGGGATTTCGACTTCCCACCTGGGCCGATTTCGGTCCAGTGATTGGTGACCGTCAGATCGCATTTGACGGCCAGGCGTCGACTTCGGGAGATGAACCCCCCATGGGTGGGCGCCCCAAACCCTAATTCAGTTTGAGTCTTCCCTTTCTCTCTCTCGGTAGCAGGAGAGCGCGATCGAAGGCGGTGTGATGATGGCGTTGTCGCCCGACATTGTCTCGTCGGCGTCTTGCTCTCCTAGCGGGTGAGCGTGCCACCGTCGAGCGGTCTGGGCGGTGGTGCCCTGATCTTGGTGAGGAGCTCTCGAAATCCCAAAACCCTAGATCTGACCGGCCTCTTCTCCACCTTCTCTCTCTTGGCCCAACGAGCAGTAGCGACGACCGAGCGAAAGGAGAGACTATGGCGCCATTGCCGCCCTCCTCGCCGGCGCACGCGCTCCCCACGCGGGTGAGCGCGCCACCGTTGAGCGGACTAGCGGTGGCGCCCTTGGCCGGAGCTTGCACTCACCAGACGAGCAACGGCTCGGACGTCTTCCCGCGCGCTGGCGAAAACAGCAACACGGTGCAGCAACGAGGTAAGCCATCTTCTAAAGCCCTTCCCCTTTCCTCTTTCCTTGTCCGATTTGCCATCTTGCTTCGTTCTTCTTGGATTTGTCCGATTTCGGGATTAGGGTTTGGTTAGGGTTAGGGTTTCACTAACTGTTCTTCTTCCCCGAGTATGATTCGTGGGTTAGGGTTTGGCTTCGCGTGCCGAGACCCCTTTCTCTTCTCTGTGCTTCACCCGGTTAGGGTTAGGGTTCGGCAATGTTTTCCTAAACGGTAAACGGTCTTTACACGGTCACCCTTCGTTTAGCGTTTAGGCTGTTTATACGGTGTTTAAACGAAGTTAAACGGTCTAAACGGTTTTGTACTTTAAAAAAATACATATAATTATATATGTGCATGTAAAAAATCAAGTATTCTAGCAGTTATACATATGTATCCGAGTAAAAATCAATTATTTTGGTATGTATATATATTTATGCACGTGACAAGAACTAAATATAGATATTTATGTATGTAACATATCAAGTGTACACATTTATAAATATAATAAACTTAAGTATACAAATTTATCCATACAAAATTGAACTAGATTTACCTCGTGTTCACCTAAACAGCCGTTTAAACAACTGTTTAGCCCGTTTAATGCTGTTTATCTCCATTCCATTTATGTCGTTTAGACCGTTTATTCTCATTTTTTGACCGTTTAAACGGTCAATCGTTTAATTTTTGTTTACCCCCTAAACAAAATAGTTTACCACCGTTTACCGTTTACTGGCCGTTTAACCGGGTGGCGGTGCTGAGTCGAACGGCGGCGGTGCAGTAGCGGCGTCGTCCAGGGGTCGGTGTAGAGGTCGCAGGGCAGCCCGGCGTCGTAGCAACCCTTCGGTGTAGATGCAGAGGCGGTGGCGGCGCTTCCCGTCGCTGGCAGCGCTCCCTCTGTGATCGGTTAGGGTTTAGGACAGTAGGTGAGGTGCTAGACGGCTCAGGCGAACCTCGTGCTCGGCGTCCCGGCCCCCACCTCCTATTTATGACGCTGTACGACGAGGGCCCACCAACTATATTAAGATTGGACGCCCTTGATCAGGGTACAAATTCAAAGGTCCAGTTGACCGGGCCAATCGGTGGAGGTCAACTAGCAAAGGCAGCCGATCGATGGCAACGACCACGTTCCCATGTGGCAACTTGCCGTCTCAAGCAGGTCTCACGACTCACGGTTGGCAAACCCAATGTACGTATCCTCACCAAACTTATGCTGCCCACCCACTTTTAATTTGGTAGCGCCGTTGAAAGGTCCTAATGGCTAGAGGGGGGGTGAATAGCCTAATAAAAATTTCTACAACAACACTTAACCAAATGGTTAGACAATTATGAGGCGAAGCTAGTGTTGCGCTAGCCTACTCAAAAATGCAAGCCACCTACCACAATTCTAGTTTAGATAGTGTCAATTCACACAAGAGCAATGACACTACCCTATGTTAGTGTGCTCTCAAAGGCTAACTAAAGAGCCACACCAACCAAGCATGCAAGCTCTCACAACTAGCTACACTAAAGAGCTTGTCAACTAGTTTGCGGTAAAATAAAGAGAGTGATCAAGAGGGTTATACCGCCGTGTAGATGAATGAACCAATCAATCACGAAGATGAATAACAATGATGACCAATCACCTCGGAATCAAATGATGAACACAATGATTTTTACCGAGGTTCACTTACTTGCAACTAGTCCTCGTTACACTCACTTGGAGGTTCACGCTAATGGCATCACTCGCCAAACCCCTCAATAGGGTGCCGCACAACCAACACAAGATGAGGATCACACAAGCCACAAGCAATTTACTAGAGTACCTTTTGCGCCGCAAGAACCCCTCACAATCACCACGATCGAGTCGGAGACAATCACCTCCTCCACTCAACGATTCTTGCTTTGCTCCAAGCCGCCTAGGTGGCGGCAACCACCAAGAGTAACAAGCGAAATCCATGCAATGTCACCAAGTGCCTCTAGATGCAATCACTCAAGCAATGCACTTGGATTCACTCCCAATCTCACTATGATGATGAATCAATGATGTAGATGAGTGGGAGGGCTTTGGCTAGGCTCACAAGGTTGCTATGTCAATGAAAATGTGCAAGAGAGCTCCCTTGAGCGCCATGGGCTATAAATAGAGCCCCAATGAAATAGAGCCGTTACTTCACTTTGGGCTGTAGCGGGGTGACCGGACGCTCAGTGCGATCGATCGACGCCGGCCCTCGGCGTCCGATCAGTAAATGCTGTTTAAATCGATTTCAACGGTCATGTTTTTTGCTCGAAAAAAGTGGACGCCGGTCGATTCGATCGAAGAAGCTCCCGAGGCATGTTTTTTCGACGGACGCGTCCGTCCACACCTTGATCGGACGCAGACAGCCGTCCGGTGTTCAACCCTAGCCAGTGTGCCGCGAAGTCGGCCTATGACCGGACCTTGACGTCGGCGTCCGGCTGCTTCATTCGGCGTCGGTCCACAGACGGACGCCAAAGATCATTTCGATCAACTCCATTTCAACTCTTACTTCTTCACCCTTGCTCAAGTGAGCCAACCACCAAGAATTTTGCATCCGGCGCAATAGAAAATAGACATTTCATTTTCCGAAAGCGGTTGAATCCACTTCTCAAGCTCGGCGGGAGGGAGAGAGGGACCCAAACCCATCTCAACCTTGCAAACACCTTGTGCACATGTGTTAGCATATTTTCACAAATATTTTCAAGGGTGTTAGCACTCCACTAGATCCTAAATGCATATGCAATGAGTTAGAGCATCTAGTGGCACTTTGATAACCGCATTTCGATACGAGTTTCACCCCTCTTAATAGTACGGCTATCAATCCTAAATGTGATCACACTCTTTAAGTGTCTTGATCACTAAAACAAAATAGCTCTTACAAATTATACCTTTGCCTTGAGCTTTTTGTTTTTCTCTTTCTTCTTTCCAAGTCGAAGCACTTGATCATCACCATGCCATCATCTTTATCATGCTATGATCTTCATTTGCTTCACCACTTGGAGTGTGCTACCTATCTCATGATCACTTGATAAACTAGGTTAGCACTTAGGGTTTCATCAATTTACCAAAACCAAACTAGAGCTTTCAGCCGTGCCGCCGTATGTATTTATATATCTCCTAATAAGATATATAGTAAATAATTAAGAGTCTACGGTAGGTACAGTACAAAACTTTGTACTCGATCGTTACGTCATGCTCAGTAAACAATGTTTTTTTTGTGGCGAAGGGCTCAGTAAACAATGTTGTACATATTACACTGATGATGCAATCCATGGTCTAGAGATTATATCCATGCAGTGTTAGTAATTAAATAATCTAAATTATGTGCAAAGTTACCTAGTTAGGGCGGTCAAATTGAAGTTTAAACAGCGAGAGGCCGTTTTTTTTTTTACTACACGTCGGTCGAACCGAAGAAGGCACCAAAGCGGACACACGTGAGACTGACGTGGTATTCCATCGCCGACGGCGATGATAATCGTCCGCCGCGCATGCCGCGTGGCAAGAGGAAAAGGAGATGATGGCAGGCAGGCAGAGACTAGAGAGCGAGATTAAGTGGGTTTTTCTTCCTCCTATTAAATTTTAGTCGCTGTTTCATCGGATATTTGATACATGTATGGAGTATTAAATATAGACTAATTACGAAACTAATTATACAGTTTACGATTAATTTGCGAGACGAATCTTTTAAACATAATTAGTTCATGATTTGACAATGTAGTGCTACCGTAAACATATGCTAATAACAAATTAATTAGATTTAAAATATTCATCTCGTAAAGTATTAATAGATTATATAATTTATTTTTTTATTATTATCCGAACACTCCGTACGATATCGACACCTAAATTTTAGTCTAACGGATCTCAGAACCCCTGAAGCGGCATTTCTCACGCACGCGTTGGCGTTGGTGGGTGCTGAGTAGGACCCGTCGTGCAGGTCACGGGGAGAGAGCCTCAGCCTCACGCGTCCCGATCTCCGATCCGCCGTCCGTCCGTCCGTCCGTACGTCGCCTTCTGATCGGACGGCTCGCTAGCAGACCATGAGCCAGCAGTGCACAAGCACAACGGCCAGTCGATCGGTCGCCATCACATAGCGTTTGCTTTGCATCTCCACCAACCAACGTACGAGTATATAGCACACGACTTCGGTGCTTGCTCAGTTGACCTTGCGTTGCTTACTTGTCCTTGTCCATCGAGCGAGACACGACACGACACCAGCGAGACTGCAGCCGCGGCCTCTCCGATCCGTTTCCTCCTCCCTCGCCATTGACTCGATCAATCATTGTCGTCTCCACCATCTCCGATCCTCCCTACCTAGTCTAGTCCAGTCTGCCTGCCTGCCTCAACGGATCGACGCGACAGGAGGGAGGAAGAAGGGGACGATCGGAGTCTGAGATGGAGGCCGGCAACGGGCAGATCCACCGCAGCGACGAGCGGGAGGAGATGAAGCTCATCATCGACACAGATCCCGGCATCGGTGCGCAAACTCTCCTCTCTTTCCTCGCTATATATAGAACACTCGTTCAGATTCAGATTGTGCTGGGTGGATGCTCGTTGCCATGGCTCGCTTGATTCCTAAGTGAACTTTTACACCTCTGCTCCAACTAGGAAATTAACCAGTCCTGATTCGTGGGGATTCTCTCACCTCTGCTCCAACTAGGAAATTATTTAGGGGGTGTTTAGATTGGGCTGCTAAAGTTTAGCCGGCTAATTTTAGTTCCATTTCGTCACTTTTTAGCTAAACACTATGACTAAACGGGACTAAATGGCTATTTAGTCAATTAGTCACCAAGGGATTGCTAAATGAGACTAAAGCCCAGACTGCCTCACCTTTTAGTCACTTTGAATTTAAACACCCCGACTAAAAGGCTCTTTTAGTCCACCAAACTAAACAGGGGTGGCTAAAGTTTAGCAACTGGTTTAGCTGTCTAAATTTTGAGAGAATTCCTTATTTGACACCAGACAAATGACTCGTTCCTTTTTGCCTCTCAAAAAAATTCCATTCTCTATTTGACACCGAGTTCAACTTTCATTCCTTATACGACACTCCGTTGGATTTTCCATCCGTGAACCGTTAACTGCCATGTGAAAAGACGATTTTAACCCTGTGGGCCCCACCACCCTTCTCCCTCCTCTCCTCCCCTTCTCCCTCTGTCTGCTCATGGTATAAGCAACGCACGCCGCGCGTGTCCTTGCCCCACCGGCCGTCCCCCGCTGCTGGCTAGAGCCCCCCCTCCTCCTCGAGCGCCATCCACCGAGGAGAAGAGGGTGAGTCTTTGGCGAATCCGGCCGCCGAGGTGCGTGCGCCGCCGCCCCGCCACCGCCGGGAGAAGAAGAAGCGACGCCACGCCCAGCAGGCCCGACACGGACCGGAGCCAGCAGGGAGGGAAAGAGGAAGAGGCGACCACGCATGGCAAAGGGCTACTGGCGCGAAAGCAACGCCACGCAGCCTTGATGAGAGAGGAGCAGGGGCCAAAGAATGAGGCGTGCGAGCGGGTGCCGGCTCCTCCCGATGACTATACTGCTGCAAGGCGGCGTGGCGACCGTGCTAGGGGCTGCCACTGCTGGGGGTGCCCACGATAGTCAGCGCCATCATGCTGCGAGGGACCGGCAGCGCTCGGGCCGCCCGTGCTAGGGTTGCCGCTCCGAAGGCCGGCCGTGTCAGGGGCTTCCCTTGCGGCGCCGGTGTGCCACCCGAGAGGGGCCATGCCTACGCCGGCGCGCCTCCCGCGTGGGTGGCCACGTCGGGAGGGAGGAGAGAGAGAGAGAGAGAGAGAGAGAGAGAGAGATGCGCTGCGCGGTGGGGGAGGGGGCGGATAGCAGCCAGAGGTCCATTTCTTGCAAGACCGTGAGGTCCGGCCACAGCCGGGGCGGCGGTCCACACGGGCCCGGCTGCGCCCGCTAGATCTGGAGGAAGAGGAGAGAGAGGGAGGAAGAGGAAGGAAGGGGCGTGCTGCTTATACGGGGGCGGACAGGAGGGAGAAAGGGAGGAGAGGAGGGCGAAGGGTGGTGGGGCCCACAGGGGCAAAATCGTCTTTTCACATGGCAGTTAACGGTTCACGGATGGAAAATTCAACGGAGTGTCGTATAAGGAATGAAAGATGAACTCGGTGTCAAATAAGGAACGGAAATTTTTTTAGGGCCAAGAAAGGAACATGTCATTTGTCTGGTGTTAAATAAGGAATTCTCTCCTAAATTTTAGCAGCTTCAATCTAAACAGGGCCTTATCTGGTAGCTTAGGATCATATTTTAATGCCTGCGCATTGCACATATACTGCAGGATGCAGGACCAAAACATTCTACCGCTTTTCTTTTTCATTTTTTAATATACATAATAGAGGGACCAAAGATGTCACTCTCTGATTCTGTATTTTGAAAAGATGCCACTCTTTATTAAAGAAAAAGGTCTCCAAGGAGTATAAACTTTAGCGAAGAATTTGCAGACCTGGACCCTGACAAGTGACCACCATTATATATTCATTCATCTTTAGATTAACCTGCAAACATCTAAACTTTTGTGATGTCACCATATTGAGAATTTGCGTGCCTTGACACTGACCAGTGACCAGCATCACATATTCACCGTAGATTAACCTGCAAACATTTAAACTTTTGTGATTTCATTGTGGACAATTTGTGATGATATATTCATGCTCTGATTCCAGATGACAGCGTGGCGATCATGATGGCGTTCCAGTTGCCGGGCGTACAAGTCCTAGGGCTCACCACCATTTTCGGCAACTGCACCACGGAGCACGCCACACGCAACGCCTTGATCCTGGCAAGCAGTATTTTTAGATATATATTCATGACAAATGCCCCTTTTCCACTTCGTTTCTTCATCTTTACTTACACTTGCAATTCTACTTCATCTGCAATGCTAACAGTGCGAGAAGGCAGGCCATCCAGAGGTTCCAGTAGCAGAGGGCAGCCATGAGCCTCTCAAGGTATTGCTCATACTACCTACTTTGCAATTTGTTCCTCCATATCTTAGGAACGGTTGTAGGACCAGAGAAAAATCTGTGTAGCTTCAGGTGGCACTAGGTTCAAAGGCAGAGTGAAAGAGTCAATGAACCAGATAGTCTACACTATTAAAATATGTCCAGTGGAGTTTACAGTTCAATCATTAAATTTTCATTAAAAATATAAAAAAAATAGTTCAACCAGGAAGTCAGGAACCAGGACAAGTCTGAAAAATTTCGTGTATCACACAAATCTGCATTGCCTGATGTCTGTATCATTTGACATCAAGTCCATTGAAAGCGACCTTGATATCGTCTCCTGAGTTGGGTAGTTCATTCAGCTACGTGGCATGGAATGGTTCACATCTTTGGGTTGTGAATAGGGAGGAAAGCCAGATGTTGCCGACTTTGTTCATGGATCTGAAGGCCTCGGGAATATAGAGCTTCCCGATCCCACTATCAAGAAAGTTGAGGAAAGCGCTGCTGAGTTCTTGGTGGATAAAGTCTCGCAGTTTCCTGGAGAGGTCTCTGTGCTTGCCTTGGGTCCTCTGACAAACGTAGCATTGGTATGTTATTTCTGACACTTGAGAATTTTGAGAGTTATAGTATATGATGATTGATTGTTGATGGTGGTGATTATGCTACAATATTTCGCAGGCCATCAAGAAGGATCCATCCTTTGTGAAAAATGTTAAGAAGATTGTTGTGTTGGGTGGATCATTTTTTTCAGCTGGAAATGCCACCCCTTCGGCTGAAGCAAATGTAATGCCAATCATGCATGTCAGTGTGCAACCAGAAATCTGAACGGTGATTTCCCAGGTCTAACGTATGTCTTCATTTACCCTTGCAGATCCACCACGACCCGGAGGCAGCCGATATAGTTTTCACTTCTGGGGCAGACATCTACGTGGTTGGCCTCAACATCACGACGCAAGTTAGCTTCAGAGGTCCTTGATCTTCCCTGAATCCTGAAGCAATATGAATATGGTCACCCCTACTCATTTCAGTCACCATGTGTCATGTGAGGTACTGAACCTGCTGATACTTGCAGATAAGGATCTCCTGGAGCTAAGAAACTCAAAAGGGAAGCACGCACAGTTCTTATGCGACGTATGCAAGTTCTACTTGGACTGGCACATCAAGTCTTATGGTGCTCCTGGTACGCTGCAACAAATACAATAGTTTTGTGTTACATTTAAAATACACTGCCATCTTCGTAGCCAGGACAGTTTGAGCTTATGTTTCTTGTTTGGGTCAGTGATTTTCCTCCATGATCCGGTGAGCTTTGCCGCGCTAGTTCGTCCAGAGATGTTCACGTTCAAGAAGGGTGTGGTGAGGGTGGAGACACAGGGCATCTGCGTCGGGCATACTTCCATGGACATGTTACTGAAGAAGTAAGCGATGATTTACGTTTTTTTCTTTCACCTTAGAGATTGTTGCTCATCATCACTTGCTGCTGCATCACGTTGGTTGGTGTAGGTGGAATTCAGAGAACCCGTGGACTGGCTACTCACCTATTTCGGTCGCATGGACGGTCGATGTGCCCAAGGTGGTCGCGTTTGTGAAGGAGCTCGTCATCAAACAGTGAACGAAATTAACTAACATGTTATGTCTCGCACACCAGATGTGCACCAAATTTGAGATGTAGATATTTATTCACATTTGACGCATTGCAAACACTATTATGTCAATCATTGGTTCCTCTGGAGGACTTCAAATCAGTTTGAGATGTTTTAAATTGCAGCATATGTGTCTTTGGCCATTGAACTGGTATGGTGTTTTTTTGCATATACTACATAGACACATATGAGTAATAATTTTCATCAGAAACAATGTGCTTCACTGCTTCCTAGAGCGTTGACATCATTCACGCGTACATAGGCTGTTTCAATGCAAAAACCGGCAACAATAATCGGGCTGCTTCGCTGGTTGGTTTCTGGACTGATAAGTCCGGCTGGTGCTGGTTTGTTATGAGAGAAAAATATTGTTGGCTGGCTGATAAGCCCTGGCTGAAACCAACAAGCGAACAGGCTGAATATCTCTGGTGGTGCGAGAAGCATTTGACTTCGTTGTTGAACCGGAAGACCATATACACAATTGCAATTGATTGAGGTTATGGAGTCTCTTTCAACTTGTACTTCTTCTCAAACCCACCACAAAGGTAGTGAGCTTGATATTTCCACTAAGTTACAAATTAAAGGACAATACAAACCTTCCGGTGCTCAACCATAACCGATTGGGAGCTCTTAGGCAACCTCTAGCCGGCTAGGAGCCCAAACTCCAAGAGTAACAAACACCGTGGGAGGCTAGGTCTTCACCAAGTGCTCAAGACGGGGTGGATCTTGATCTTCTCTACCTTTTCAACTCTCTCTCTCTCTAGGAGCCAATCACTTCGAAGGATCACAAAGCTTTGGACAAAAGTGGTTGGGAGCATCAGTGGATGAGAGAGGAGAGTTGTTAGTCTGATGGGAGTATGAGGTACAAGATGACCAGTGTGGGAGTGTGGGAGAGGTATAAATACCTCCCACATCTCCCACAAAAAGCAGTCAATGAGGCAGAGCGCGGAGGCTCCACCTCCGAGAGCAGAGATTTCGTGCAGGCCAGAGAAGAGTGAAAAGCATCTGGCCGTTTGGGTAGGCTAGGTGTTTTTTATATGTTTCTGTATAGTGTTGTGAGCACTTGGATCATCCCAGCTTACTTTTAATATCACCATTAATAATACGGCTTGTCCTAAACACAAATTCAAAAAATAATATATAAATGTAAACTAGTTCTTTGAGCTTCCAAGCCATCCTTTTGAGTTTGGGGGGGTTCTCCATTAGTGTTTCGTGCACCCATGATAAATAACATGTTGGCAGAACCGCCCAAAATAACACACCCTCGGAGACGCTCGTCTTTCATCAGACACTAAGCACCTCGAAAGTAAGCTACATCAAGCGGATTCCATCGAGCACACCCCAAGGGAGAACTCGAATAATCCATATTTTTCCTCCAGGATCCAATAATGAGAATGAGTTTACAATACTTAGTCCGTTTCATACCACCAGAGTTTTTAGAAATACATTATTACAGTACCAAGTTCAGAGTGCGAAAATTAAACAGCGGAATGAAAATAAACATTTATCGATAATATGTAAGGATCCGTCTGTGCTCACCAGAAGAATCCTTCACACAACAGCTACTCCTCGAGCTGCACCTGCAACAGGGGTAAATAAACCCTGAGTACACAATGTACTCGCAAGACTTATCCGACTAGTGGGAATAATTTCCTGACTCCAAGGGATATGATAAGTTTTATGGTTTGCTAGGTTTTCTTTTTGCGGAAAGCAATACTAATAGTGAATCTTTATGTATGTTTATTATTAGCGGTCCGGATTAGTTCATTATCTAACCATTCTATGTAAGCACATCTTCTACTTTCAAGCAAGAGTTGAGCAAACGGTTCTATTTCACCACCTTTCATCTTCCAGTTCTTACTACGGTGCTAGACTATAGACAAACCGTACCGGATCGCCCAGCGATTCGCGAATCAATGTGCCTAGATGGGTACCCTGAAACACATGCCCCGCTTGTAACCCAGGCACAAGCATGACCAACCCACTACCCTCCTGTCACAGGGTCTAGGTCCCCGTCCAAACTTGGACTCCAAGCCCCCGCTCCTGAGTCCCAGACTAAGTGCGGTGCTTAGACCTCCACCATCCCCGTCTCCAATCAGTCGGTCCAAAAAGAGCCGGAGCCCATGACAAGAGAACAATGAGCCTTTCCGTGTCCATACACAAGTATGTGTTCAATATAATAAGTCTGTGACTTGTCTAGAACCCAATGCAATGGCCGGTCCTTAATCGACACGGACAGGGAAAACGGTGTAACCAAGCTATGCCCCGTTGGCCGCAGGACATAACCTCTTACACCCACCAATACCCATACCACATCCCTGCCCGGCCTTCATTTTTCCTTTCACCATTTTTATTATGAGAGTGATAATAATAATCACCTATTGTGAGTAACGGCAGGCTACCCACGCTATCGAAAAACCTAAGCATAGCAGCTACTAGCGAGCGGCGCGGCCCACGCGGGACGCGGCCCATCCGCTCTGAAACGGCCCAGGACAGGGAGGCCCGCGCGTGCTGGCACTTTGCGAAAACGCCCCCGCGCTAAGATCGAATCAACCCATAGTCCACAACACTATTTCTCGAGACAGCACTTATGCAAAGCAACCCTCGGAACATCCCTTCTTTACAACGGCTAGGTCCTCGGGCCACCCCCGCGCACACCGGCGCGGTGGCGATAGCACTCGGCAGCCACGCCGACCAACCGAGACCCGCCCCGACCCAGATAGTGGGCCGATCAGCACCTCCAACCCTAGTGACTACACTAGCCGAGATTACAAGAGCGGTGGAGCTTGCGAAAGTGGCGACCACGGCGTGCAGCCATGCGCAACGGTGACGCGACCACGCTAGCCAACCACAGCCACCGCGGAGAGAGCTAGCTAACGCTAAAGCATCCCTATCGTACCCTGGTTACGTCTATGGTGATGGTTTGGCCAGAATTCCTAAACCAGGCTGGCCACGTGCGGCGGTGGAATTCGGCGGCGCCTGACTGGTGACATGGTCGCATCAGCGACCAAGGCGAGCCGGTAGCGACTGGACTGAGATGCGCGGGGTGAAGGAAGGATCTAGGTGAAGGTAGTGGTACAGCGAATTAGGCAGTGGGCGACGGGTGAGCGAGCTGTCCGCGCCCACGGCCAAGCGTGGCCTTAATGGCTCGCCAGGGCAAAAACACCAAATTGGTGCCCGGCCGGCCACCATCAAGGCTGGGGGTGGCATAGGTGGTGAGGGGTCAAGAGAGCGCAGGTGCGGATGAGGCGAATTGAATAGCGGTGACTTATTTCTAGCGAACTCGTGGAGCAAGGCGATGGCGGCGGCAGAGAGAAAAGCAGGGGCACACGGGCGGACCGAACGGCAGCGGGGCTTGGCCAGGATTCGACTGGTGCGTGTCTTGGCGGGGTGCGGTTGCCATGGCCGAGGGACCCTCATCCTAGGCGCAGTGGATGAGCGAGTGCATCGGTGACAGGCCGAGGCCCGCACGCTGCGGCGCCATTAATGGTGTAGCGACGGCGTGCATAGCCACGTGCGAAAGGCATACACCCGGCCGGGGAGAGGCAGCACAACGCAGCATAGCGCAACACAGCATAGCGCAACGCAGGTGTGCAGACGCAACGTGACGACAGCGGTAGCGACACGACAAGGCAGAGCGGCCAGACATCAGCGGATCGGCTAGGGCGTCTGGCCCGTGATGGCAACGGCAGCGACACGACGGGGTAGAGCGGCCAGGCCAACCGGCCCCCAGCGTCCCGCCGAACGCGGCGGTGCGTGTGTGTGCGTGCGTGCGTTGGGCGAGCCGACGCTACGATGTCGTGCCCCCGAGCACGATGACCGCGCACACGCTAGGAAATCGGCCGAGGGCATGTCGTGCACGGTTTTTAAAGCTTTCTAAAAATCTAAACCTTTGATCCAATCGCCAAACCACCTTTGCTATACCTAATAGGGTATATTAGGCTACCAAAACAGGTCATGACACTACTCTTCTTCTTAACTAAATTTTTCTACAAAAATTGATGAACACAACAATGTCTACCCTCTCCAAAGTTCAAGAAATTTTCTTAGTTCCGAGTTTAACTCTATATCAAATTGCATTTCTAAGCTATTGGAAATCTTAGCTAGTAATATCATTTTTCGACCGTAGGTATTTTATCGTCATCTACAAAGTTTGTACTTTAAACTTTATTCAAGTATCACATACATGTTCTATAGCATTTTTACTTAATAAAAATTGGTTTTAAACCCTAAGTGATACAACATGATTATTAAATTAACTTTCGTTATGCGTTTCCGTTGACCGTTTTGAGTTACGAAACTTGATCTACACTCTATATTTCATGCATCAACACATAGACATGATGCTCATGACATGTTTTAACAAATGATTTACAGTGTAACACCGAGGGTGTTACAAATCTACCCATAAACAAAATCTCGTCCCGATATTTCATGTGCCTAGTGTGGGAAAAGAGATAAAAAATACATTTCAGTGTAAACAGCTACCCCAGTGAACTAGAAAGAAGGTGGGGATAATGCTTCAAAATACGTTGCTTCATCCTCCGAGTGATTTTGCCACTGAACCTTATAGAACTTCACCACATTGTGTCTAGTCACTCTTTCTTTCTCATCTAAGATCTTGATAGGATGCTCAATATAAGTCAAGTTAGGCTAGAGGGGAAGTCCTTTAATTTCCACGGCTTCATTGGGGACCCGCAAACATTTCTTCAACTGGGATACGTGAAACACATTGTGTACCACTGATAAAATATCTAGAAGTTGGAGACGATAAGCAACTGGGCCACACCGCTCCAAAACCTAGTAAGGGCCCACATATCGAGGGGCTAGCTTACCACGAACATCAAACCAATGCACCCCTCTCATAGGAGACACCTTGAGATACACGTGATCCCCAACCGCAAACTACAATGGCCATCTTCACTTGTCCGCGTAAGTTTTCTGTCAGCTTTGAGCTGCCTTCAAATGACTC